GCTACAATAGCAGCTGTGAGGATGGCACTGGACCAAGCATGTGTCCATCTGTTGTGCGTGGGGTCGCTGTGACCTGACTGCATCTAACAACAGGCAAGCACCACCTAAAAGAGTTAGAACGTGCAAGTCCCATTCATGCAACCTTCATGAGGCCAGCACATGCCTGAACACCACCCCCACAGCTGTCTTCCTACGCTTCTTCTCCCCGTGCACCCCTAAGCTCCCCAGCTTTGTCCTGATGGTTTGAGATGCACATGAAGGTGTTCTCACATTGTCTTCTAAGCTTTTTTGGTTTTGTGTGTGAGAGACTCAGCGAGGTGTTTGGGACAGCAGGAGCTGGTCAGGGCACAACAGGAAATAATGAACAGAGAAGAGAGGTGGCCAGCATTGAAGCTGCATCCCCAGGGGCTTGTGAAGGACAATGTCCTGGGTCCACAGGACACACTCATCCACACACACACACACACACGCCCCACACTGTCAGCACATTCATACAGAGGAGCATGTGTACAAACAAGGGCATGTGCACACTCATACAGACATGAACGTGTACACACACAGTATATACTCATCCAAGCACACCCCACACCGTCAGCACACTCATAAATGTGTGCATCCCTGCTACATACACGCATAGAAACCATACACATGCAGACACCACCCAGCTGGTACTTTCTCATGAACACGTGAATATGCACACAAACATATACTAAATATTCTCACATATATACATATACCACACTGACCCTCAGGAACACACACATAATTCTATACATACATGTACATATATTCACACACAAAATGTATCAAATATACAAACTTACAGGTATACATACTCCAACACACATGAATGTCTTTTGTACACCTATATACATGCATACTCTAAATTGTGTATACCTATATGTTTTGGTTGTGATTGTGGTTGTGAAGGGCCAGCGAGTTCATTCTGTCTCATGCAATCCTGTGGTCAGCAGAAACAAATCCAGTCTTTCTGCGCTGGTCTTCCAGTCTCTGTGGTATCTGCAGCCATTGTTGCAGGCTCTGTGTCAGTCTTCCTCCTATAGAATCTTCCTTTTCTCCTCACCCTCCTCCTATCCAGCGTGATGTCTGTTTCCAGGGACTGATCCCTCCTTGATAACACGTGCAGATCAGATGTAATGGAGTCTGGCCAGCCTTGCCTCCTAGGGCGTTCCAGACACACTTCTTCCAAATCAGATGTTTGTCCTTCTGGCCTGAGTGCAGACATACACACAAGTTGCATGCACATACAAGCCTGTACACAGTTACATTTGCAAACACATGTGCATTCACACACATCCTTGAGTGTTAAATCTGTACTCACATTTACACTATCTCACAACCTTCAAGAACGTTCAAGTATGGAGGTGGAAAGCAGAGACCACTTGCCACTACTACCTCAAGAAAGAAACATCAAACCTACTTCTCTTCATCGTTGCTTCACTGTGGTTATTTTTCACTCTTTTTCAGGCGTGTTTATTAATTTGAGCAGACATTTTAGAATGTCATTTTTAACTTCTGGGAAATGTTTCAAAGACAGGATAGAACAGAAAGTTTTTATTTGCAAACACTATTAACCATTTCCTGTTCCAACCTCAGAAATAACTGTGAACTGGGCTCATCTCTGGCTCTGCCCATCCCTACAGCAAGGTCCGCGGCCCACACAGCTCAGACTTACTGGCTCCTCCTGGTCCTCAGAAGTGAGTCCACAAAACCCCCTGCCTCGGCTGGGGACCATCCCTTGCCTGAGTACCCACTGGCCGAGGTTGGGCACCTTCTCCCCAACTCTCCACCTGCACCCTGCCCTGTTTCGGTTCTACTCTGCCCCACTCCACTGGGTGCTGGGAGCAAAGGATGTGAACACAGCGAGGGGAAGACTCCTCCAGGACCTGTTCAAGATGCCCAACCCCTGACCTGACTGCTCTTGGAGTGCTTGCCCTAAAAAGAACCTTCTGGGCACGCCTGCCCCTTGCCTAGCAGATGCTGCCCCACAGGAAGCAGATGGCCACTTAGTGTGCATGTTGACTGAGCAAATAAAGTGTAGAAAGTGCCAACAGACATAGCCCCAGAAACGCCCCAGTCACACACTCATTTCAGAGACAGAGAACTAGAGTCCACACCAAATCCTGCACACAAGATCACAGCAACTGATTCAAATTGCCAGAAACACGAGCCAGCCCCATGTCCTTCAGGGCAACTAGACTACAATAAAGGACACAGGAAGAAAATGGCCCTTCAGGATCTGTACTGCAAGAAAAGCCAGTCTCTAAAGGCCACAGTGCCTCGTTTCACTCACACAGAATCCCTGAAATGACATGATTTAGAAATTAGTCACATTCTTCATATCAGGGGATGGGTGCGTGCTGGAGGGAGCTGAGCTTGATTAGAAAAGGGCATCAGAGTTCAGAAATGCTGACATAAGAGAGATGAACAGAAGATTTTACAGAGCAGCTCCAGAAGACAAAGCAAAGTATTGTTAACAAAATATGCCAAGACTTGGAATTAGAAAATCAAAAGAACACTCCTAGTATTCCTCAAGCTGAGAGAACTGAAGAATAAATTCACGCCTCATGTCACAATATTGAAGGATTCTAGGGGCAGACTACTGAATGATGCAGAAGTATCGAAAGAAGATGGAAAGAGAATGGAGTAACTGCACCCAAAAGACTTGGTTGACACAACCATTTCAGGAAGAAGTATATCATCAAAGACCAAGTGTACTGAAGGAAGAAGTTCAAGCTGCACTGAAGGTATTGGCAAAAGGTAAGGCCCAGAAATTGATGGATTACTAACTGAAGTGTTTCAAGAGACAGACGCACTCTGGATATGCTCAGCAGTCTCTGCCAACAATATGGAAGGACCCCCCCTTCCCCACGACCAACTGAGTAAAAGAGATCCATATTGTTCCCACTTTTAAAAAAGGTGATCCAACAGAACGCAGAGATTATCAAACGATATTATCAATATCATCCGCAAGTAAAATCTTGTTGACAATTATTTAACAATTACTAGAACAGTACTTAAACATGGAATTGCCAGAAACTCAAGCTACTTTCAGAAGAGGCTGTGGAACGAGGGATATCCTTTATCTAGCTGGCAGTAGGAGCTAGAACTGGTGCAGTGTCCACCCCCAACTTCTGTGAGAGGGTGTCCTTGTTCCCCAGCTTCTCACTCTCCTCTCTCCCAGGCTCTGGAGGGAGGGGGAGACAGAGAGAGCAGGAGGGAAACAGGGAGGGCCAACAAAGAAAGGAGAGTCAAGGCGGAGCAGAGCCACTCCCTGTGGCTGCAGTCCTCTAGCCCACAGCCAGCTCCTGAGGACAGTGCACCCTGGCTCTGGCCCTTGGGGAGAGGACAGCACAGATAATAGTACAGATGGTGGAAATCAGCTCTTAAGTGCTGCAAGGGAAGGGGAGGCAGGTCCTGTCCATGCCCAGATCCAGTCTGACCAACACAGGTTAGACCACTGGAGTGGACTGAACCCCTTTCCTGGCCGGCTGTGACTCACACGCCCACCAGGGCCCTTGCCTTGCCTGCCTCAGAGCTGGCCCTGTGGGAGGAGAGGACGCGTGTTCTCAGGGGGTCAGCATGCAGGTCAGCGTGGCCTCACTCTTGTACACCAGCCCTGCCCTCCTGACCCCTGCCAGCCCTGAGGGGCCTCAACATGCCCTCGTCCACCGAGCCCCCCACGGGGCTCCCCCTTCTCAAAGCCCACACGCCTCCACATGGGCCCTTTGTTCATAAATTAACGATCCCCACTTCCTCCTGCGAGCCTGCCTGCCGCCTTTGATGAGCTTTTTCCACCGTTTGTGAGCCCCTTCAGGCTTTCCTGCACAGCTGCGCAATCCGCGGGGGCTTACAGACCCACGCGCGCTTCACTAATATCAGCGGTTTCGTGCAACCTGCTTTCCATTGCAGATGACAAGAAGGCAGAGAGACCATCAAAGTGTGTGTGTGTGTGTGTGTGTGTGTGTGTGTGTGTGTGTTCGCACGTACAAGTGCATCAGACCTTAGGGTCACAGATGCCTGGCCTCTGAGACACACCCATATCGGGTGCCCCCACCTGCCCACTGGACTCTGGGGGAGGGGCCAGGAGGTGTGTCATGCAGCTATGCACAGCAGAGGCTAGAGGGAGTGGGCAGCCAGTTCACATCATGTGACCACAAGGTCATCCAGAGGAGTCTCCAGCAGGCCCTAACTCCACTGCTAGCCTCTGCCCCATCCCTCTACCCCTGTGCCCTTCCATCTCCCCTCACTGCAGCCTCCTAGGAACCTAAATCCATAGAGGGAACCCACCTCACCAGGCTGCAGAGGGTGGAGGTCCTGGCCTGCACCCCAACCTCTTAGCCTCAGGTATCAGGGACAGCTTAGGTGGACAATGGGAAGAAGTAACAACAAATAGATGGTCAAAAGCTGTGCTTGATCCCTGAGGTGGAGAATGGGGGAAGGAAGAGAAGATGAGACAGCTTGTATGTCTCTCCTTGTCTGTCTGTCCCTGTCCTTGATTCTCTCTAGTCAGATGAAAGAGAGAGGAAGAGAGAGCAAGAGTGAGATGTGATTGATAGATGGATTACATAGAGAGAGAGATATAGATATATCTATATAAATACAGAGAGAGATGATAAAGAAATGGGGGGAGATATAAGACTCTGCATACAAGACTCGGCTGCTGTCTGCCTGCTCCAATTTGGGGGGTGACCCTGCAGGATGGGCCAGTGCTGGTTCCTCTTAGGGGCACAGCCCCATCTCTCTCCCTCTGGGCAGCTTTAATGACTGCTCCACCAGGCTCTTTCTTGGTCTCTACCACACCTCTATCCGCTCCCTACCACGTGGAAGCAGAGGAAGAGGAGGCGGGCCACAGGCAGGTTCCCTCCCCACACCCAGCCCAGGACAGTTTCCTTTCCGCTATTAAGGTCCTGGTGCCCCTAACACTCAGAAAAGCCCCAGAGAAGGTGGCTCCGGAGGCAGTGAGGGGCCTCTTGGGCATGCGGGCCCCGTGGGCACCCTGGCCGCTCATCTGGACAGTGCTGCAACTGGGCTGGCAGCTGGGACAGCTTCAAGGTATGTGGTCAGGGCCAGGGCTGAGGTCCCCTCCTCTCAGTCCTACCTCAGCCTGTGGGGAAGAGGGGAGACTCCCCACTGCCAAGGGTCAGACCTGTGGCCTCACCACACCATGGGCGGACAAGTCCAAGTGTTGTCTGTGGTCTCTGCCCTCACTCACCCACCCACCTCACCTGTTACATCATTTCACAGGGAGGTGACCTCTGTCCTCATCCATCTGTGCTGGGTTGGTGGGTCAGGCTGTTCACACTGGACTCATGCACTTCTCTCTATGTGTAACCAGCAGCTAACCCTTGTCACCATTTTACTTTGGTGTACCTCCTGGCATGTGGTATGTCTCCACTGTATGCAAAGTGTGAGGTGGCCAGTTGACCAGAGCCTAAGTCGCTGTCCTGGACATGATTCAGAGCATCAGGTCACTAGGGAGGCTGCCATTGTGACTGTAGCCATGAGGAGGTGGCCTAGGTCTCAAGTCCTAGGAGAAGACAACTCACTCTTCAACCTCTGAGCAGGAGGCACTGTGGAGCTATCAACCCTGGAGCTAGCCAGGCAAAAGTGACTGTCCCAGACTTGAGGACCATGTGACCTTGCTGGGTAAGACCATGAGTCTCAAGATGAGGGACAGGTGGCAGACTTCACATGCCATTTGTGGCCACCATGCCTGTACCTTTCTAATCCAAAGGTCTCCTGATGCCAGTGGCTGCCTCCTCAGGCACATAGCTCACCTGAGAAGGCTGTGGAGGGCTCAGCAAAGGAGCTCATCTGGCCATAGGCTACCCAATGACCAAAGGGTGCTCAAAGGACACAGGCTGCCCAGAGGTCACAGCCTGCCCAAAGGTGACAGGCTGCCCAGAGGTCACAGGATGCCCAGATGTCACAAGTGGCCAGAGGTCACAGGTCGCCCAAAGGTCACTTACTGCACAGAGGTGACAGGCCTAGAGGAACCAGGATTCAGGTGAGAGGTTCCTTAAGTCACCGACCCCACTCCCCCGGGGCTCCTCGACATATGGGGGCACCAACATGACTTTGCTGCAAATCTTGGTCCCGGTGACCCACCAGATATGCCCCAAGAGAGTCTCACATGCTGCGTGCCTCAGTTTCCCTACCTTCCCCACTAAAGCTGCGTCACCCGCAGTGCTGCATGAAGCCTTATCTCAGCCTAACTACCGCTGGACTCTCCTGGGTGTCCCCACTCTTCCTTCCCCAACACACTTCTAAGTTGATTCTTTTCAAATTGTAATGGTGAGAAAAAGCTCTGGTGGGGTGCATATCATGTCCCACTGCCCAAAGGTCAGTGATTCAGTTCCTCAGCTGATCTGTGAGACAAAGGTGGACAGTCTTCTCCGTTGACGACTTAAAACCCCAGAAGCCTAGCTGAGGGGCATCTTGGGTCAGAACTGGATCAATGGCAGTGGGCGAGTTTTGAAAAGGGCTGGACAGTGACCAGTGCAGAAGGTGGACCTCCGTCCAGAGATGCTCTAGGAGGTTCCTGTCCCCTGAGCTGTGGAGATGTTGGTAGCACGGGCCTCAGTACTTCCAGGGACCACACCTTCCTGTGTGTCTGGATCCTGCTGGGACAACTCACTCCGGAGCTGGCCTGTGGTCACTGGAGCAGCCATGTGCTGATGGCCCCAGAGCCCACCCAACTTCTGGAGACTGGGTGTTCTGTTCCCTGAAAACAGTTAACATGTTCCATGGACAACTGAAAGGCTGGTGCTTTATGTCCAATCTGAGGTTGCCAGGATGATGGGTGGAGAATCCCATCTGGAGCAAGCCACTGACCTGCAGGCACGCTGCCGTCTCCAGGTCCACAGCATTGGCTCCACAGACTCTGCCTAAAGTTGTCTCCTGTTATCTGTGAGAATGGACCTGACCTGGGTGACATTGCAAATTGAAGGTCTTGTGTTCTCTACTTTTTTAGTGTCCCACATCTTTCCCTTACATGTGTTTTCAAGTTGAAAGAGTGAGAACAGTCTGACACTTTAGTTAGTTTATCCTCTCTATTGTTAGTACAGCTAGGGGCCTGGGCTTGGTTTTCAGGATTTCACAATGACTCTTCTCTTTTGGCAGTCCTCCCTAGCAAGTGCGTGAGGCTTTTCCCTGCCGTGAAGAGCTCAGCTGCCAGATGAAAGTCTTGAGTCTTGTCCACCAGAGGTGAAAGTCTGGGGAGAAAGCCAGGCTCCTTATCTCCAACAAGGTGGCCAGCAAGAGCTTTGTTCAGGACAGTGGGCCAGACACACACCCTCACACGTTCAGGCCTGCTTCTTCCACCTGGCTGGTCCTGAGCCAGGCACTGCCCAGTGGAGATGTCCCACCTGAGTCGCTGAAGAGGAGATCTGATGTGGAGCAGCCACTGAGCTTGTCTTCACTTTCCCAGTGAGATTCTGGCCCATCACAGACGAGCGGGGCCCATGATGGACATACAGTCAGGGGTCTGTGATGGGGAATGGTCAAAGCTCTGTGATGGGGAATGGTCAGGGGTCTGTGATGGGGGACAGTCAAGATGGAGATACAGCCAGAGGTCTGTGATGCGGGATGGTCAGGGTTCTGTGATGCAGGAGGATCAGAGGTCTGTGATAGGGGGAGTCAGGATGGAGATACAGCAAGAGGTCTGTGATGCAGGATGGTTAGGGGTCTGTGGTGTGGGATGGCCGGGGGTCTGTGATGTGCAATAGTCATGGGTATGTGATGGAGGATGGTCAGAGGTCTATGATGGGAGGCAGTCAGAGGTGTGTGATAGGGGATGATCAGGCATCTTTGATGTGAGATAGTCAGGGGTCTGTGTTGGGGTCCTGTATGTGATATGAGGGATGATAAGGAGTCTATAGTGGGAGACAATCAAGAGTCTGTGATGGGGAATGATAAGGGGTCTGTGACAAGGGAACGTCAGGATGGAGATACCGTCATGGGGAATGGTCAGTGACCTGTGATGGGTGGCAGTCAAGATGGGATACAGTCAGGGGCCTGTGATGGGGGATGGTCATGGGTCAGTGATGGAGGACAGTCAGGAGTCTGTGATGAGAGATGGGCAAGGGTCTGTGATGGGGGCCAGTAAGGGGTGTGTGATGTGGGATGAATGGTCAGCGGTCTGTGATAGGAGTGCGATGGGGGATGGTCTGTCAGGGATTTGTGATGGGGAATGATCAGGGATTTGTGATGCAAGACAGTCAGTAGTGTGTGATGGGGGACAGACAGTCAGGGGTCTGTGATGAAGGACAATCATGAGCCTGTGATGGGAGATGGTCAGGGGCTGGACGCTGATGCTCAACTGAGGATATATCTGTTGAAAATGCCTTTCTTTGATGACTATGGGACTGAGGGAATGTGCCTGCTGCTCTGACACTCACTTTACTTGGTCCCTGCTCTCTCTCTCTCTCTATTGACTCCATAGCACGGGTGGTGGACAATAGAATATGTGCTGCTGCCCAGAGCCCTGTGTGGGCCTGCTGGGTGATTGATTGCCTTGCTCGGGGTGCTGCCCTGGCCATCCCAGGTGGGTCTCCCTGTATCAATGTAGGAAAAGATCCTCACCCCTCAGGAGAGTGAGCTCAGAGCCACCAGAGCTGCCAGGACAAGCAGTCCCTGACCTCCACTCCAGCAGGGCTCTTATCCAAGTGGTGCAGAGCTGTCCGAAAGGACGGCATGGATGCAGTGTCAGTCCTTAGGGCCTGAGGCCCTGGGTCGGGGCACAGTGGGTGTCCACACACCTCAAAGTCTCCCTGGAGCTGAAGTGGATGACAAGGAAAAGTTGTTTTTGAACTCCTCATCCTGTCCTAGCCCCACCCTCAGCGGGCCAGTCAAGGGAGACATTGGGGCTCAGCCGATCTGTCCCTGGGTCACACAGTCCTGTGAGTCTCAGAATCAAGCTCCTGGACAGCACATTCTGCCAAGAAATGAGGGGTAGGGCCCACCTGTCCCTCATTGGTAACATTAGCAGGGGGTGCGGGACCCTGTCCCTCACAGGTCACACTAGCAGGCAGACAGTGTTTAGACATCTGAGTTACAGACACAGGCTCATCCATAAGAGGGCTTGTTGCCAGGCTGAGGCTACACCTATGTCCACATTGTTAAAGGTCAGCAGTCCATGGCTGTCTGCTCCCCCACTGCAAGCCAGCCTGTCTAGACTCAAGGTGACTGTTATCACATGTGACTGTTCTTGCCACAGAGGGGTGGCCTTAACAAACAGAAAGCTATTTCCTCACAGAGTAGGCATCTAGCTGACTGGATTCAAGGTGTAGGCTCTTCCTTCTGGAGGAAGGTCCTTGTGCCCTTCCGCATCTGCGGAGCTAGCATTCCTTACAGACCTCTGATGTCTTGACATCTCTCTTCCCCTGGGTCTAGGAGGTTCCCAGCACAGGGATGCTGGATCCAACTGACACACTCACTCTGGACTCTGCTTTCCTGGTAGTGAAATCCTCTTGGCTCACCTGTGTAATTTCTTCTTTATCTCAAAATAGATATACTCACAATACAATGTAATCTTGCAGGTTACACCTCCCTCCCTCCCTCACAGACCTATCTCTGAGCATGTTGGTGGGGTGTGGCTATCCTTGCAGCTCCGTCACCTGGCACTAGCCGAGAGTCACTGTTTTCAGGTCACCAGTGGGTCTGACCATCACTGCTGTGGGTCAAGCACTGACCATCCACGGTCCATGGAGTTGGTCGAGACAGGGACACAGTGACTCTCCTGGCTTCCTTATCTGCAGGGCATGACTCACCAGCCATGTGTGCCCTGAGGGACAGTGCCACTTTGTCCCCAAGGAGGACCTTGGCTGAGCAGGACAGCAGAGAACCCTAGCCCACAACCTCATCACAGCCAACTTAAGAAACCTCACTGCTGTCCAGTCGATTCCAACTCATAGTGACCCTCCATTCGGTTCCTGAGGCAGTAAATCTTAACAGGAGGAGATTGTCCAGCTGTCTCCCTCAGGAATTCTGGTGGCTGTGAACTGCCTGCCTTTGTGTTGGTAGCACAGCTTCTTGCCCCTCAGGCCATAAGAGCTTTCTTCATGGACAACAGGTGCTTTGAAATTGGTGCTGTCTTCCCTAAACTAAAGACGGCTGTTGGGACACCTCTCTGGGCCTGTATGATAGGGGGGAAGTCCCTGGAGAGGCCACCTCCACAGGTGCGCTCCTAACCACAGTCTTTCAGCCTTAAGCTTCTCACTACATAACGAGTGAGGTTAAAATGACCCACCAGAGTCGGTCTGTACCTGTAGTAGAGGAACTGTACACATGACAACTCAGACCACACATCTCTGAGAATACAGTGTCCATTGCATAAACATTTCCACCTGGGTACCCCTAAACTTGTATGTGCCACTGTTGGGGTGGAGCAGAGAAGGTGACAAGGGCAGAGGGAGGTGGTGAAATGAAGAGTGAAGGTGAGCTCTCCAGAATCCATGTCACTGAGTTCATCTGGGGACCATGAGACTCAGGTGAGGGAGGGACCAGGGACACGCCCCTGGGCTCTGAGCTGTTCTCTCAAGGTCCTCGTGTACTTCATCTCTGGTCACCAAGTGACCTGAACTGAGTGTAGGAAACCACAGGCAGTTGCACAGGCCTCATAGGCTAGCAGATCGTGTCCGTGTGAGGGCATACATATGTGTGCACATGCACCTGCATGTGAGTGCGGCTGCACGTAGGTATCATGCATATGAGTGCACTCACATGTTTGTGGGGGGCATGAGTTATGAGTATGTATGTGCATGTGAGCATGTTTGTCATTCCAGTGTGTGTCTGCGTGTGCATGGGATCAGTGTGTGTGCATGCGAGTGTGGCTCTGTGGGTAGTGTGAGTGGGTACAAGTAAGAATGGTATGTGTGCATGTTTGTGGACTTACTTGTGTCTGTGCATGGTTATGTGAATGTTTGCACACTTCTTTGACCTGCGTGTCTGTGCAGGGATGCTGCAAGTGTATGCACATGTGTGTGAACCTGCATATCTGTGTATGGCTGTATGAATGTGTACACTTCTATGCACGTGTGTGTGTCTGTGAATGGTTGATGTGAGCATGTGTACATCTGTGTAAAACTGTGTGTGTCTGTGTTTGGATGGGTGAATATGTGTACACTTCTATGCACATATGTATACCTGTGAATGGATGATGTCAATGTATGCACATGTGAGTGAACCTGTGTGTGTCTGCACATGGATTATGTGAGTGTGTACACATGTGTGTTACCCAGAATATGTCTGTGGATGGATGAGGTGCGTGTGTAAACATGTGTGTGAACCTGCGTGCATCTGTGTATGGATGTGTAATTATGTGCACACTTTTATGCACCTGTGTGTGTCTGTGAATGGATGTGTGATAATGTGCATACATACATGCATGTGCCTGTGTGGATGTGGTATGTGCAAACGTGTGCATATGTATGTGTGTGTGTATGGATGTGTGACCGTGTGTAAATGTGTGTGCACTTGCTTGGTGTGTTTGCATGAAAAGTATCAGTATGTGCATAGGTGTGAGTGTGATATGCCTGGTTATATCAGTGTATGCTCATGTGTGTGTACCAGCACGAGGGTGTCTGTGCATAGATGTACGAGTATGCACACATATGTGTACCGGCATGGCTTTGTGAGTGTGTGCACATGCATGTCTGTATGAGTGTGCCTTTGCATGGGTGTGAAAGCATGCCCACAAGTGTGCACGTGTGTGTGTCCAGTGTGTGTATGTGTGTGCTGAAGATCAGTGACAAGGGCGCTTGCAGGAAGAGGCCTGAAGTCCTGAGATGACCAGGAATTGTGACTGTGATATGGGCAGCAGGGCCAGGCCTTTGTCATTGGATGCTTTCGAAAGTCCTCTTGGGGGCCAACCAGACACAGGGTGAAGTGGACAGAGACAGGGCATTTTGGCTCTTTTCCTGTTCCATATAAGGAGGGTAGGCCACTAGTCTCCAGAAGTTTCTGCCTCTGAACATGAGACTGGTATGGACCGCAGCTGGAAGACAGTGGGCCGCACATGGTGGTATCAACAGGCCTGAGCTAGACACCATTCTGGCCTGTCAGAGACAGGCACAAAGGCCATCGGAGCCTTCTGAGGGGCCCTGCTTACCTGAGGCCACAAGGCAGGAAGCCCACACCCCTAACCTCAGAGAGTCCCCTCTACCAAGATATATCTGGTGGCCAATGGGGCAGTCACACAGGACAAGATGCCTTGGCCCTAGAGTCACCTTAATACTCCTTTTGGGATAAAAATGGGGGCCCAGGTCAGCTCAGAAGAGTAAACAGAAGTACCCAGCATGTGACTCCATAAGGTCACACAGCAGAGTCCCACTGTGAGTGTTACCTGAGTCCCCTGGTGGGTGGAGCCCCAACCCTGGAGGACACAAGAAGATGCTTGGCAGAAGTGCTGCGAAGGAAGGGGCTGTGGCCACCTGCCCCTCACTGCTAGCTTCTTTCCCTAGGCTGCTCTGAGAGGCCTGGCACCTCCCTCACCTTCCAGCCGCCCCAGCTCATTGTGCCTGAGGGCGGCGAGGCTGAATTCTTCTGCAGCTTCCCCAACGCCACCAAGCCCAGTGTGCTCAACTGGTACCGTGGGAGCCCCAGCAACCGGTCAGTCAAAATGGCTGCCTTCCCCAAGGACCTTGGCCCACCGACACAGGACCCTCGCTTCAATATCACACCACTGGCTGACCAGATGGCCTTTCGCCTGCACATCAGCCCCGTGCAGCGTAATGACAGCGATACCTACTACTGCGGGGCTATCAACCTACCACCTGAGACTCAGATCACAGAAAGTCCCTGTGCAGAGCTCATCGTGACAGGTGAGGTCTCCTGCAGGGCAGGACCAGAGGGAACATGGACACGTGGACAGTGGAGACTGGAACATGGGCAGCAGGGACATGGACAGTGGAAATATGGACAGAGGGGACAAAGGCAGTGGGGACATGGACAGGGGGACAGGGCCATAGAAAAGCAGATGGAGACATAGAGGGACAGCATGAGTAGTGGGGATGAGGGCACAGAGGAGTGCTGAGGCAGGCAGCTAGGGGGTCTCTGCAGCCTGACAAGGGATGGAGGGAGGGGCCAATTGTTCACAGGGAACAATAGACCCTGTCCTCACTGGGCTCCAGCCACACCTGAACATGAAACCCTTCCATTTGTGCTTCTCTGCAGACAGCATCTGGAAGCCATCCATCACCCCCAGCTCTGAGCCCATGACCCAGGGGCACTTCCAAACCCTGGTCATCAGTGTAACAAGCATCCTAGCAGGTATCCTGGTTCTGCTCCTGCTGGCCTGGGGCCTGGCCACCATCCTCCCCAGAACCACTCAAGGTAGCACCTGTCCACAATCACGTGAACCATGCTCATCCATCCTCTCCCACCCAACACCTCCCTCCATCTTCCCACTTCACCCTGCCTCCCCTCACTCTAGGCCTCCTTCCAGCCCCCTGCCCACCCTTCCTGCTCTCCTACACAACATCTCCCTCCATACCCCTGCCCTCCCCTCTCTCTGCCTCACACACCTCCCTCCACCCCCTTCCCTCCTCCCACCTCTCCCTCCTAACACCTCCTTCCTGCCCCCTGCTCCACCCTCTCTTTTCCCACCCAACACCTCCTTCCATCCCCCTCCCCACCACCATCCCTCTTCCTCAGCTCCACTCATCCTATCATCTCCTTCCACTTTCCCCAAAACACTTCCACTTTCCAGCCTTATACCTCCACACCATTCTTCCATTCTGCCCACCTCCTATGCTTCTCTTAATCCTCCCATGCTGCCCTCCTCCTACTCCTCTACCCTTCCCTTCTCCCACCCTGCCACCTGAAGGTGGAGCTAGAAGCTCTGGTCAGGCTGCTGCCTGATGGGTCCTTACGGGACTCTGTAAAAGTGCTGTGCAAGAAGCAGAGTGAGAGCTGTGGTACCTTGCGCTGTGTGGCCACAATTCTGAGGAATGTGGTTTGTGATGTTCTGTTCCAACACCCTGACCACGTGTGAGGGGGCACCATGGACGTCGCAAACCCTGACCACCCAAAAGGGCTGACGATGTGGATTCCCTTAACCCCCATACACCCCCTAATAATAAACGAGGGGCTCTGTGGGTACCCACACACACCCTGGCCGTACACACCCAGCCTTGCTGGAGGACAGGGAGGTGCAGAAAAGTCAGAAGTACAAAGCCAGGCTGTCTAATGCAGCCACATCCCAAAAGGGCCCCTGAAAGTGGATGGGGTGGAGGCTGTTCAGTCACTACACAGCCAGGAGGGCAAGGTAACCAAACTACCAGAAAATGGGGGCCCCAGGACAGTGGGTGGAGCCCAGCACAGGGAGTGGAGCCCAGAACAGGGGTAGTGCCTCAAGACAGAAAGTGGAGCCACATGACAGAGGTGGAGCCCAGGACAATGAATGGATCCACAGGACAGGAGGTGGAACCTCAGGGCAGTGGGTGGAGCCCAGGACAGTGGGTAGAGCCCAGAACTGGGGTTGGAGCCCAGAATAGGAGGTGGAGCCTAAGACAGTGAGTGGAGCTAAGGATAGGGAGCGGAGCCCAGTATAGTGGATGGAGCCCAGAATAGAGGCCATTCTGCATCTCTACCCAGTTGCAGACACGCAGCATTTCTACCAGACATTCTTGTTCTCTGCAGGGGTCAGCAGAGCTCGGAATGATGGCCAGACTCTGGTGAGTCCCTCCCTTGCCAGGTTTCTGGTTTTATAAGGAGGCGGGTGGAAAAGCTGGAGGAGCAGGAGTGGGGGATAGAGAGAAGCTGGAGTGGAGAGGCTGGAGGAGGAGGGGGGCAAGGGGTAGAGGAGTGGAGGTGAGGGGTGGAGGCGTGGGAATGGAGGGGATGGAGGTGCGGAGGGTGTGGAGGGCAGAGGGCAAGGGAGGAGGCAAGGTATGGATGTGGGCATTATGGCCCAAGAGGCTCAGCCTGGCTCCCAGGCTCCAAATAGCAACAGGCTCCCATCCTTACAAGTGTGTCATGAGGACCTCAAGGCATAGGAACCTAGAACCATGCACACGTTTCTGTCATGTGCATGTGTGCATAGGTGTGTGCATGTATGTGTACATATGTGTATGCATGCACCTGTGAACATCTGCTGGGCATGTTGTTAGGTGCCATCATGTCTAGTATGACCCACAGTGACTCTCTGAACAACGTATCTGAATCCCATCCTATCCTGTACCATCCTTACAATCTCTGACACACTTGAACTTATTGCTGCGGTCACCCCATGTCAGTCCACCTGGCTGAGGGTTTTCCTCTATTTTGCGTACCCTCCACATTTCCAAGCATGATGTCCCTCTCCAAGGAATAACCTCTTCTAGCAACAGGCACATAGAATATGAGATGAAACTCTATAGTCTTTGCCTCCAACCAGCACTTTGACTACAATTTCTCCAAGATATATTTGTTTGTTCTTTTGTAAGTCTATGGGATAGTCAGCACTCTTCTCCAACATCACAGTTCAACAGCATCAATTCTGTCATCCTTATTCATTGTCCAGCTCTCATATGCATAGCAAGTCATTGAAAAGACCATAGCCTGAATCAGGCACACCTTAGTCCTCAAGCTGACATTATCATACCTTATTATTTGGAAAGGACCCAACTGCAGACTTTCCCCGTGCAATATGTGCCCTGATCTCCTGACTACTGGTTTATAGGTATCGATGGTGGATCAAAATAAGATGAAGCTGTTGACTGGTTAAAACTATTCTCCATCCACCATGATCCTGTCTATTGGTCCAGTGATGAGAATTTTTGTTTTCTTAATGACGAGATGGATTGATTCAGTGACTGGAGTAATGGGGGTAGGTGTGTCAGAGACAATAAGATTGGCACAGGATAGAACAGTGTTTAGGGCTGTTGTATATAGGGTCGCTATGTGCACAGGTGACAAGGCTGAGATACAATCTATACTGAAGATTGTATTCTATGATGCTACGTAGCAAGTACTTCAAGTCTTCTTCACTTTTAACAAGAAAGGTTGTGCCATCTGCATAATGCAGGTTATCGATGAGTCTTCCTCCGATCCTCATGCCACATTCTTCTTCATAGAGTCCAGCTTCTCAAACAATTTCATCAGAATACAGATTGAATAAACATAGATAGGGGATACACTGACATAGACCTTCCTTCATTTTAAACCATGTAGTGCTTCCTTGCTTTGTTTGCACAACAGCCTCTTAGTCCTGGTATAGGTTTCACATGACACAACTAAGTACTCTGGGATTCCCATTCTTCTCATTGTTAACCATACTGTGTTATGATTCACATAGTTAAGTGCTTTTCATAGTCAATAAAGCATAAATAAACATTCTTCTGGCATTCTTTTATTTCAGCCAGGATCCATCTGACTGACATCAGCTATGATATCCCTAGTTCCACAGCCTCATCTAAATCCTGCTTGAACTTCTGGCAGTTCTCTATCTATGTATTGTTCTAACAGTTTTTTTCATGATCTCCAGCAGTATTTCGCTTCCATGTGGTATTAATGATATTGTTTGATAATTTCTTGTTGGATCACCTTTCTTGGGAATGGGAACAAATATGGATCTCTTCCAGTTAATCGGCCAGGCAGCTGTCCTCCAAATCCCCTGGCTTAGACTAATGAGGGTGTCCTGGGCTGCATATGTTATCTGAAACATTTCAATTGGTATCCCATTGATCCCTGGGACCTTACTTCTTGCCAATGTCTTCAGTTCATTGAAGTGCATTGAAGTGCATTGCTCTTCCTTCGTTAACATTGACTCTTGCTCATATTACACTTCCCGAAATTTTTCATTGTCAATTCTTTTTAGTACAGTGACTCTGTGTATTCCCTACATTGTCTTTTGATGCTTCTTGGGTAGTTTAAGATTCTGCCCATAACACCTTTCAACATTACAACTCAAGGCTTGAATATGTTTTCAGTTCTTTCAGCTTGAGAAATGTTGACCAAGTTCTTCCCTTTTCATTCTCCAGTTCCAGCTCTTTAGAAAATCTGGAAAAATCTGAAAAATATTGTGATATTTTGCTTTGTCTTCTCAAGGTGCCCTTTGAAATCTATTAGCTCTTTTGCTTCAGCATGTTCTCCCTTCATTTTGAAGTCTCAAACTTCATTGCAATTTTCAGTCTCCTCTGTCATTCCTTTTGGTTTTTTCTTTTCCTCCATCTTTGTAATGACCTTTTGCTCTCTTCATGGGTGATATACTTGATGTCACCCCACAACTCATCTGGGTTTTGATTGTTGGTGTTTAATGCTTCAAACTTATTCTTAACTTATTTATAAACTGTGGGATAGACTTAAGGTACTGTTTTGGTTCCCACATGTGTTGTGGACATGTATGATGTATGTGCACATGTGTACGGAGCCGCCTCACTCTCCAGTCTCCGTGCTCTGTGATCCAGTGCCCAGGGACAGTCCCTCTAGAAATAACAACCCCACATTGGGGCTTCTCCAGAGTCAGGTGAGTGTCTGAACTATCATCTGGCTACATCCCAGTGCTGCCTTAGCTGTACAGACACTAGAGAAGCAACTGACCTCTCCCTCTCTCTCCTGCAAGAAGGAGGACCCTTCGACCATGCCTGTGTTCACAGTGGACTACGGTGAACTGGACTTTCAGCAGCGGGAGAAGACCCCAGAGCCTCCCACTCCCTGCTTTCCCCCGCAGACCGAGTATGCCACCATCATCTTCCCTGATTGTGCACCCCCCGGTGGCCGCAGGGGCTCAGCCGATGGCCCATGGGGACCCCGATCCCCAAGGCCAGAGGATGCACACTGCTCCTGGCCCCTCTGACTGCTGGTCTCAGCCCTCTATGGCCTTGGGGCCCTGGCACAAGATTGGGAGGGTGCTTCCCTCAGGAGAACATGTGAGGTTTCATGAGAGGTGAGCCCTGCCCCCATGTCAGCTGCCTAACCTTCACCCTAAACAGTGGCTGATATGGCAACAGACTCTAATGCCCACAAGAAGTTGGGCAGCAGATGGTACTGCTGTCTGCAAGGTGAGGAACCAGGACTAGGAGTACAGCTGGGCACAGGCCCCATGAGGGCAGATCCAGCCTTTGTAACCACCCAGGGCCCAGAAGTACACAGACCCATGAGGGCAGACCCAGCCTCTACAACCTTTCAGAATCCACAAGGACACAGGCCCTGAGGGCATAGCCAGCATCTGTGACCACTCAGGGACCCAGAAGAGCACAGGCCCATGGGGGCAGAGCTGGCCTCTATAATTGAGGCTGCAGCACTGGGTCATTGAACCTCTAACATTTGACCTACTTGCCAGCTCCATGCCCCTCTGGTCAGGATTGTGTCTGGCAGCTGTGTGGACTGAATAGGTGCCAGGATGGAGGACACTGGCCGAGGACACCCTGGGGACTGCAGCCCCCCCTGCTTGTCATGCGGCCCAAGGGGAATGAAGGCAGAGTCACCGGCGGCCTCCTTTCCAGTTTGCACACAACCAATTGGTCTGGGCAGCTGGTGTCTTTTGGCCAGAGTGCCAGAATAAGAGTCCTGTCCTGGGCACGATCTTCCCCATGCTGGGCACGGCCCTCTTCCTGGGGTCTAATCTGTTACAGGCTGTTATTAAACAGTGGTGTGAACTCTCAAGTGGGCTGGTCCTGTATCTCGTGGTGGCTATGGGGAGCGTGAGAGGAAAGAGGCCTCTCAAGGCCCTGAGTCAGGCCTAGAAGCTGGCCTACAGTCCCCAGAAACACGCAGTCCCTCTGGGAGCTCTTAGTCCTCCTGTAAGTCCCACCTCACCCCACACCACCCAGACTTAAAGCCCCTCAGAATTCTGGGCTCCAAGTCCGGGGTCCAGAGCTCCTGCCCAGATCAGCCCCCTGATCAGCCCCCTGGGGTCCTCCCAGGGCAGAGTGGAGCATGGGTGAGTGCACAGGATGTAGACATTTTAGGGAGCAGTGCCTACCCCCGCCCTCTGGAGAGAATGATAAAAGGAACAGGCCTTGGTGCAAAGATGGGGTGTGATCCCTGACAACAATGGAGAGTGCCTTCTCCCCAGCCTTACTCTCACACAGCTGGTGTGTGACATAGTAACACAGGTGACGTGGTGGCACAGCTGGTGTGGGGACAAAGGTGATGTGGGGGCACAGCTGATGTGGAACACAGGTGGTGTTTGGGCACAGGTAACGTGGGAACACAGGTGACATGGGGCATAGCTGTGTGAATCGCAAGTGATGTGAGGGCACATCTCGTGGGGGGACACAGGTGATAGAGGCAGAGCTGGTGTGGGGACACACATGGTATGAGAACACAGGTAATACGGGGACACAGGTGGTGCAAGGGCATAGCTGGTGGGAACAGATGATGTTGGGACACAGCTGGCATGCAGAGCCTGACCAAAACCCTCAGACGCCCACTCCTCATCTCATGTGGCACCCATGTGAAAGGGAGAAGGTAGAAAGGTAAGATGCCACCATCTGCAAGGGCCCTGGGAGTGGGAGTTGGGATGGATGCAGAGCCAAGGGACAGCCTAGTTGAGTCAATGCAGAAAGCAGCGCTCCGTGCATCCTGTCGTGACCAGCCAGAGCAGAGGGACCCACAGTGGCCTCAGGAGAGCACCGCCAAGGACAGAATCTGAACGAGACACGTGTAAAGCCCTCCCAGGAGAAGTGACCGCAAACCTCTGTGGAAACAGTCCCAGTCAGGCTGAGCAACATCCTCACTCACTCACAAGTTTACCAGGATCCCAGTGGGGATCCAAAACTAGACCTGCTGGCTGTGAACTTCTCGTCCTAACCGTCAGGTAAAGATTGAAACAGAAGTGAGACAAGCCAGCTTTGCCCTGGTCAAACTTTCTGTCAGCAGCTTGGTGGTGGCAGCTCTGGGAACGAATGGGCCAGTGCCTGATGCCCATGGTGTCCACAGTGCAGGGTGATGGTCTTCAATCCATGGCATTAGATCACCAATGGCTGTTTAGGAAAGTATTAGCCAAATCCACATCCTGTGCCTAGCACCAGGGTAAATCCCAAACACAGCAGAGATGCCAGTGTCAAGTCAGCAAAGAAGCTACGGGGGCCCATTCACCCCAGAAACCCACAGCCACGGGCTGGACCTCAACTCAGATGATGCTCCTCAGGCCCCAGGCTGTGACTTCCCCAGAAGGCGACTGTCCATCTTTCTCCTTCACAGGAGCTGGTGGGTCTAACCTGCTGACCTTCAGATTAGCAGCTGAGCAGGAAGCCGAGGGAAAGCCCCCTACCCATGACTCACAGCCAACTGCAGATAAAGAGAAAGCAGACATGTATCACGACTCAGGGCAGGGAAGCTCTTAGCATGACTGAGGAATAGTGAGCAAAATGGGAGAAATATTTGCAAGACGTCACACAAACAGTTGATGCCTCATTCACATGAAAATCTCTCAAACGGCAAGAACCAACAGTCTAACAGTAATGTGAGCAGGAGCTATAAATAAGCATCTAACCAAAAACTGTAAATGCGTCTTTATAAACACACACAAAAAGCCATGCACATGCATAGATAAGTGTGCAAAATGGAATTAAAGGACAATAACTCATAATAAGAAAGTCCAAATTAAAGTGATGCCATTTCTCACCTCTCCAAGGCTCTAGAGAAGGAGGCCCATCTGTACTCCTGGTGAACATGCTGTGAGCCACGCTCTCAGGACTCTAGGTAGACAACTGGCCTTTTCCTCGCTGACCTTCAAGCTTTCAAGCCTTCAAGCTTCAAGCTGAGATGAGATGATAACTTACTGGCAGGGAGACTAAGTGACTAGTGAGGGGATGAGCGTCTGAATGCTCCTCGTTAAGGTAGCTTTTCTGGAGAGTCGAAGAAGGTAATGTTTGTTAGCTCCAAAAGGAGAGACACACTACAGGGTTTTTTGCAAAATGAAACAAACATGTCCAGGTAACCATATGTCCTGTTGATGGCACATTCACCCTAAAAAAATAATTTCTCAGCTCAATTTAGAACATGGTGTTTGGACTTCCCATCATTGGCTGGGACACAGTGTCAGAACTCAAGGAATTCCACACACAAGTATTAAGTGCCAGGGGCAAAATTTGTCAAATCATGTATTCTGTTTTTGTGAGGAACCAAGATTTTTAGCATAAGCATAAAACTAAAAAGTTTTAAAAAAGAAAATACAACTCTGATGGAAATGAAAGAAGTGTGAGCTCATTCATTTTCCTTTTATTTTTCTTTCTTGTAGTGATCTGAGTAAAAGCTTACAAAGCTAGGTAGCTTTCCATTCACCATAAGCTAGGTAGCTTTCCATTCACCATTCACACACTAACCACCCCACACACGATGTAATGGACACACCAACTGCGCACTTCCTGGTCCCTCCCTGTAAGTCTCACTTCCCTTCTTCTCCCTGCCTTTAAAAAGTCTTTATTAGATCTCTATCCAGAGAACAAGGAGCTCTGGTGGCCTAGTGGTAAGAAACTGCAGTTTGAATCCACCAGCTGCTTCACGGGAGAAAGATGGGCAATCCCTCGCGTGTGATTGACTGCTTCTGGAAGGTCAGCTATGGGTTGACACTCAACAACACAGCAATCCAGAAAATAGGGCTTGATGCAGTAATTATCTCTAGTCCTAAACACCATTTCCTTTGGGAAGAAAAGGAGGCAACTTGGAGGGACAGCTCGTTCCAAGCCACGGTGGGAGTTCAGCAGCAAACTGCTGTCCCCACAGACAAGGGAACTCTCTGAGGCTCTTTAGAGTCAGGTCAAGCAGGCACAGAGCAGCAAGGCTGCTATCCATGAGGCCAAAATAGTGGACATGCGACATATTGCTTTTGTCAAAATCCACAAAATGGCACAGAAAAAGGGGAGGACCTCCTTGTGTAATGTATGGAGGTTGATTAATGACAATGTATCAATGTTTGTTCACTAACAGTAACAATTGTGCCACACCCTCCCACAACAGTTAACAAACAGCACAGAGGGAAGAAGGGCAATGAGAAGGCCTTGTACTTCCTGCACAACCTCTCTGTGACAGCAAAACCACCCTGACAACTAAGGTACTGATTGTTTGTAAATGACACCAGGGCAGTTTCAGCATCCAAAACACTAAAATAGAAAGCTAACTGATTAGTGCATACTGGGCTTACATAAAAGAGAGTAATTCATACAGACACTCAAAAAAGAAGAAAAGGCGCCGGCCAGGCAGAGGAAGTGGCCGCTTCTGCTCTGAGCCCAGCTGTGACCCAGGCATCAGCGGCCACCTGCTCAGACAGGAACCACGAGCGGGCAGGCGGCGACGCTGGAGTCAGCATTTTACATCTCGCCTTCCCATCAGCAGCCTCTCTGCTGCAGGCGTCCCACTCAATGTTTCCATTCCTCTTGCTCTGCCTCAGGCCCCAAGTGTCACTGCGGAGGCTAGGACGGTGTGCCCCCCACCCACGCCTGCTGCGACAGTGACACTGGTGGCTTTGGGAGGAGCCTGGGCTCCAGTTGCCAACTCTCACTGGGACTCTACCCCACCTGCTGGCCTCTGCCTCACTGACCTCCAGTCTGCACTCTGGTCATTGACCCCTTCTCCCTTTCACTTGTGTGGGCCATTTGGGACAGACCAGCTGAACAGTGGACACTTCTGCCCCTGTGTGGGCCTCCTCAAGACTGTCTGTGCCCAGCTGGCTGGCAGCTCTGAGGGCCCAACACAATCCAGCTCAGGGATAAGAACTGTGAGGTCCATTCTGAAAACTGCCAGAGGACAGCATTCACAGGGTCAGGATTGAGCTGAAGGCGGGAGTCAGTGTCCATGGGGACAGGACTGAGCTGACGGAGAGGCACAGTGTCCATTGTGGGTCAGAACTGA